GGATACGGATATGTAGTCCACCAGAATAGTGTGACCGTCTGCGAAGGATCTGGGCGCCTTGGCCCAGCTGAAGTGTTTGATGCCGAAGCAGTTGGCGCGCTCGAAGGCCTCGACGCTGCCGTCAAGATAGCAGCTGGCGCGCTCGAAGGCCTCGGCGCTGCCGTCAAGATCCCCGACGCATCGGACAACCCGATCGTGGTCTGCTTAGACAATCTAGCTGCGGCTACGTGCCTCCGAGGTACAGCATCGGATTCGTCCCAATCGGCCTTCCTCAAGTTCCAAGAGATCGCCGCCGCACACGGCTCCATCCACGTTCGCTGGATACCGGGCCACACCGACATCCCGGGCAACGAACAAGCCGACTCACTCGCGAAGGCAGGCTGTGCCCTCCCAGAACCTCCAGACGCCAAACCAACCCTCGCGTACATCCGCAGAGTGGCCAAGAAACAAGCCAAGTAAACTCATGGATTGATCTTGGCTATGGAACCCTAAAACATGAAAATTACACAGCCCGGCATTGTGAAGCCTTCCAGGCGTGGTGGCAAGGACACATGCCGGAGAAGTATAAAGAGCTGAAGCTCAGCGCAACCACAGGATGCCCGAAGGAACTCTCAATCCCCAGGCCGACACTCGAAGGAATTCTCAATCCCCAGGTCGGCACTCCACCATCTTTTGGTAGTACGAAGCTCCCACGGAGACTTTGCAGACTACCACGAAAGATTCAACCATGTGGGCGCGCGCATCACCTGCTCGTGCGGCCGGCGCAAAGCCCCAGACCATCTCTTCTATTGCCGGAATGTCGGTCCACGGCACCGGATGAGGCTGACACCCTCACCTGCCGCGGCGATCAACCAAGCAATAGGCAGAGACTTTGACAAATTCATCCAGATGGCGAAGGCGTCTTCCTTCTTCGCAAGGATATGCCCTCGCCACTGAGCGGTGAGTGCTAACATCTCTCCTTTTACCTATTTCCTTTGTAAGTTTTGTTGCTTTGTTTATCCGCGACCTCCGCCGGCGAGGGGTTGCAGCCCCTTGTCCGACACGGTCGCATCGAGCCGGTCAACACGGCTCTCGCATGAGGTCTTCATTTCGCAAGAACGATCGATAACGCGGACCTGGCGGCCGCGCCTGTAGATCCCGCTGACGGGTAAAAGGCACGATGTCTGGCGCCTTTGAGCCGAACACATGCTAGATAGTTGACGAGGGAACGATAGAAGTGGGGGTGGGCGAATGCTGTACCCTGTGGGATAATCGGTCTCTGTAAAACTAGCCTTAGCACGCCGCTTGCCCTATATAGGGATCTCTGTGGCTCTATGCCTCTGGCGCTTAAACAATCAATCAAGCGACCATCAGGGCAGCGATCCCACGAGTACAGGCTTCCTCAGATTTCGGGTTTCGGGTGAAAAGGGACATCGATTCTTCTTTTTAGCCGAATGTCTTTATAGTACACCTGACGAATGTCCTGACCTTCAACGAGCTCATTGTAACGGCTAGGGTTCCCAAGGGATAAACCTAACAGGGTTTATGTTGGCAGAGACACTGGGGACTCGGTCTGAGCGGTTGGTTGTTACGCTGGTGATAGGTCGTAGACCATAACCAAGTGATCAGAGTCAAAGGGTTTGTAAGCTAGGCTTGGGTCAATGTAATGATCGTGTTGAAAGCTAAGGAGCTAGAGTCTATCTATGAAGCGAATTTGGGGTCCCTATATACTATGGTGTTCACCCATGGTTCACTGAAGTTCGGGTTGTTGAACATGAAACAGCATCACGTGCAGGGTCCAGCCTGCGCCTTCCATAAATAGCGTGCCTTGGCGGCATCTCTAGCTTAGAGAATCAACGCACTCCTTTCATCTGTGTTCCGCTGTGACGTTCAACAGGTTATGAGCCCTCGTCAATTCCACTGACATAACCGTTGATGTGCAATCATACAACGGCCTGACGCTTTAACTAGTTGATCAGGCTGGCACAGCGTCTACTCATCAATCTCTCTATTTGCAAGATCATGATGCTCATGGCCTGACGACAATTCAACCTTCGATCAAAAGGGCGGGCACGAGATAGAGAGACTCTCAGCTTGTGACCGAACGTTACCGACAACCTCGGCACAAGAACTCTGGGCATCACATGCCAGAAGAAACTGAAGCTTCCGAGAAACTCCGACTAATTTCCGCTTTGACATTGAGATCGGTTATTTCAATTTCAATCCCCCCAATCATACT